AAAGGACTAGAAGCAGTGGATAAACCATGAAAAATTCTGTTTAAACTTGAGAAAAACTTTCCTTATTCTGAGAGTGGTCAAACAATGGCATAGGTTGCTCAGAGAGGTTGTGGAACCACCATCCTTAGAGATATTCCAAACCCAAGTGGTTGTGGCCCTGAGATACCTGCTCCTGCTCACCCTGCTTTAAGCAGAGTGTTGGGATGAGGTGATCTCCAGGCGAACCTGTCCACCTCAGCCATTCTGTGGCTGATCTCATAAATACTTTTGAATTACAAGCAACCTCTTAAGTAGAAAGTTCCCTAGGAAACACAACTATTTAAAAGCACACAGAACCAAAAACTTTTGGTACTATTTATAATTTTGTTGTGAACTATGGTGATTTTAAATTAAAGAATTTTTAATAAAGAACTATTGCTGGTAAGAATTAAGTTATTCTAAAATATATCATTCATAACGCTGTTAAGTAGCCATTCCTACCAGCTAAATTGTAACTTTCTGTCAGAAGAAGGTGTGCAATACCAAATATGTGGGTAAAATCACAGCTTTGTGAGTACTTTCCTTTCCAAAGTTGTGCCATTTCCTACTCATGAGGTTTTACAGCAAGACCAACTATACTGCCTTTTAAAAAAAATGTATTTTATACTTGAACGACATGGATTATTTTAAGAAACTTCTGAAAAACAAGTAACATTAACCATGCTTTTGTATTTTAAGTGATACAGAATCCTGATATTCAAATTGTATGAATTATATACAATTGCATTTTACACGTCAAATAAACCAAGGCTGTCATTATTTGGATGTGGTCACCTTTACTGCTCTGCAAAGAGTGAATGTTACACCCATAATCATTTATACAAAGCCGGATTCTGAAAATCTTAGACTCCTCTGATTTCAGCAGTTGTTTTTACTCCGTGAGGTTTGCCCAACCAAAAGATGAATGCCTCTGTGCCCTATTCATGGCACTGTACCTCAGCTGAGACTTCTGATGTATTTTAATTATCACACTACCTGTATTTGAAAATAACCTGCAAGCACATTTAGTGTGCTTACAAAACATCTATTTATACCACCATTACTTTTCAGAGTTACGTTCCATGCTGTGTTCACTGCAGCTATTCCAGGTATCCTTGTTGTATCCACCAACAGTGTGCCAACCATGGTGTTGAGTAAGAGGATTCAGCTGTGAATGGATCTCTCTCCCTGAAGTAACGAGCTCAGATAGACTTCAGAAAGTGATGTTTTGCCTGCCTCATCACTTGTCTAAAAAGGATAAGGGCAGAGCTATCAGAATTACTCTGATGTAATGCAGTGAGCATGAGTGTCCTAGAAAGTTGCGAGCTGTAGGTGTCACATCATCACAGAGTCTTGTTTCCTGTGAGCTGCCAAATGATCTTTATTTGAATTTAAAATATTTTTGCCTGAGAAAGCAGTAACAAGCAGCCTATTAAATATATCCCATTGAATATCTTTCCTACTTGATCATCAGCATTTTGGTAACTTAAAGTGGACTGACAATTATACAATTTGCAATTTTTAGCACAAACCAGAAGTGAATCTGATTGCCAGATTGACATTCATGGAGCCTTGTATTTGTGCATAAATATGAAAGCTCAGTATAAAAGGTTTGTGCTCATATTGGCCATCAGAGTCCTAGAAGCTGATATTGAAAATGTGGCTGTGGGCATACAAAAATAATCTGAAAGTTACTATTTAAATATACAGTTTGTGTACTCGGAGCTATAAGGAATCAGCCATTTACCTACAAGATGTTTACAAAGCAAGTCTGCTAGGTTTTCTAACAGCATCTTTGTAATATATTTCATTCTTCTTAAAATTTTCTTTTTATTTCATTTCATTTCATTTCATTTTAATATTGAAATGTGATATTTCTGTTGTAGAATATGGGGGCATGTTTAAGAAATATGTAATAAATACAATTACAGCCACAACAGGGCACATCTAAGTGTGGTATTTAGGGGTAGGTTCTGTTAGTAATCATAGTTATAAGCAGCAGGTATAAAAAGGATGGAACAAAGGATGTTGTAGGTATTGCCATTCTGGTGTAGCTTGAGCCTTATCTTAACCTGGGTTAAGTATTCATTTAACAATGGTTTCTTGTGCTGAATTAAACTGATTTTTTTTTCAAAGTAAAAAGTCTGTCTTAAAAATAACTGATTGGCATTTAGATTATGTAATTTATTATGATGCCTTTATGATCTATGCTTCTCACCTCTGCATATTGCTGGATTTTTTCATCTTCCACATGCTTGGATTACATGGCACTTTGTTCCAAATCATTCTCCTTGAGAATGATCTTAATTTCTGTGCAATCTGGAAAGCTGAAAAACCAAGATTTCTTGGTGCATTTATAGTGGGGAAAACTGGCAGAGCTATGAATACAACTTACAAGCATAATTGAATCTCTTCCCATTGCACACAAAACTATAATAAGGTGTGCATTTTTTTACCAATATAACTGCATCAATAATAGGGCTGCTACTGCCATATGTTATAGACACCCATCATAAGCTTACTGTGAAAGCAGCATTTATTGTGCTTACAAGAAGGAAAAAAGTTTATTCTGGTCAATAAACAAAGTCCCAGCTTCAGAGCCAGAAAGATGCATCTTTTTGTTCTTTGCCACGGGCAAGGGACTCTCTGAGGAACAGGCTGCACGGTTGAGCTGTTGAATGCTTCTCCAGCTGCACACTTCCCATCAGCCAAATATATTATCAGAGCAGTACCCAAATTCTTTGGCTATAAACAAAAGCATGCATGTACTTTTTTGTGCCACTAGTGACCTTTGATGTTCAAGGTTCATATTTCCTTAAAGTGCTAGATTAGAAATTTTTCCAACCCCCCTAGCCCCCATCCATGTAAGATAATTAATGCTAACAATTTCATCCTAATTCAAGGTCTTTAAACCAAGCTGGTCTGCTTTTCATTTTCTGCATAAAATGGAAAGGCACAGAGGTAAATGCAATGTTTAGTATCCATGAACACCTTTGCAAGGGTAGGTAGGCATGCATTTAGTCTGCATTTGGTAGGGCTAAAGCTTAAACAGAACTTTGGCAAAATCAAAGAACTACAAATTCAGCAGTGATTGGGCAAGAAATGCCCATGGTTTTGCAGGAGGGTGAAGTTGCAGCAGGAGGCCAAGCTTGTCCTGGGCCGCCTCATGTTTGCTGCAGGCTGCCTTGCTCCTGGTCTGTGGAGTGCTGACCTGCCAGGAGCCCGAGGGGAATTGTGCTGCAGAGTTTCTCCTTTGCACAAGTGCTCCAACCCTACCTGTGTGGGTCGTGGCAGGGCACCTGGCCCGTCCCAGCCTGACTTTCAGGGTGCTCTGGGCTGAGTCACACCCACGCCACAAGCTGGGTGGCATCTGCAAGGGTAGGGCAGCCGCAGTGTGACAGGGAAGGGCTCTGCCTCTGGTTGGACATCAGCACTCAGCCACAAGAAGAAAGGCCAGAAGAAAATGTTCAGGGACTCTGGTTCTTACATCCTGGCTGTCTAGTACAGCAGGAGGAGCATTCAAGTTCCACCTGTTTAGGGAAGGTGTAACCTCTGACTTGGGCTGTCGAGCTGGCTCAACAAGCAGGAACGGGTCAGGGTGATGCAAGCCCTGCCCTTGCCCTTCCCTGTCAGACTATTTGTTTCCTCAAAGGTATCAAGCAAACTCTGAAGCTTTTAAGCAGGAGGGAGGGTTAAAGAAGCACACAACCATCATTGAGAGCTGCAGGCAAAAATAGCCTGGCATTATTTTTACAGAAATGCATTTAGTCAATTTATTAAGGCAAAAGGATGCTCCTGTAAAGCAAAACATGTTGCTCACAAGAGCAAGCAGAAATTAAAACAGGTATTCGATGAAAGACTACTGAACCAATAATAGATATTAGGTGCTAGAACAAATTAATTAATTTTCAGCAAAGACCAGTTCGCAGTAGAAAGGGATGGTGGAAGTATTTTATAAAAGAGAAATTTGCTAATCTGCACTGTTGAAAAGGCCAGTATATTCCCCATGTATGAATTTGGTTTCGAGGTGTTTCCAGGAAAAATACAATAGTGAATGAAGGGTACTTTGTCCACAAAAATATATTTGCAGGGGCTCTTAGACATGAGAGAGTCACCAGCTCTTGTGACACTGATTGCTTTAAAATGGGTTATTTCAAGGGAATGACAAGAAATAACAAGACAATAAACCATTCTTGCAGGAAGTCTCAGGCAGTAGCAACATTGGCCAAATTTAAAATTTGCTGGGGGCAGAAGCTGAGGATGTACTAAAACATATTGGGCTTAAGGTTACAACTGAACAAGCAATATATTATTTTCCTTTCACTGGACAAAGACTCATGTTCTGCTTATGAACTGCTTTTAAAATTGCAAAACGAAAAAAAAAAAAAAAACCCTCCCAAAATGCGTCACAAATTCAAATTACTCTTACAAAACATTCATCAAACAAGTTCATGCTAATTCCTGTTGCAAGAATTGCTGAGAGTATTTGACATTTGTGCGGTGTGACACTCGCGATGCGTTTCTGCTCTGTGAGCAAGCGCCTCGCTCGCAGGGCTGGTGCTGCTCGCCGTGGGCTGACTGTCAGCCCTGCACAGGGCAGCCTCTGTGCTCCCCTCAGGCTAACTTGTGAGCACAAGGGAAGGTGGGAGATGAATGGTGCCTCGGTCCTCTGCTGCTCTCTCTGCTCACTGCTGACATCTCCATTTCTTACTAAAGAGATGTCAGCTACTTTTATAACAGACAACTAGGCAGATAAGCAAAGAAATTCTCTTGCCTCAGAGCATTGGGAATATTTTTTTTTTAAGTCACAGCTCCAGGAACCATGTGAATTAGAGACAAATACAAACCCAGATTAAATTATTGGTCTTCGGTTTTGTAGAATTGTTCTTGAAGACATGATCCAGAAATATTCTGAAGTTTCAGTAAGCAAACCAAAGTGAAAATAAAAAAGGATTTGCATATACTTAGGCCAGCCTTTTCATTCTGGGGACCTGAATCATGACTTCTGAATGCCTGGATTAGCAATTCTGTATTTAGCAGTGACCAAAATATTCAAAAATAGCTTCTCACTATTTGTGCAGTCTATATTTATGCTTGGTAAAAGCCATCTAAGCTGCTAATAAAAGAAACACAGACCCTGGCAGTTAGCAGGGCATGTCCACAAAAACCAATATGCAACATTGCCACTTGGATCTGAAGTTCTCTTCTGTTGCCTCTCAGCAGCAGCAGAGACTGACAGGAGCTACTCTGAGACACTCCTCCTCATCTTCTAGCACTTATCCTTTAAGTGTGATGCATAAAGCAACAGTATTCAAACTGATTGTGCTTCCAAAAGGGCAGGATCACCAGGCAAAAACTTGATTTCTTTTTGAAGCTGAAAAAACCTGTGATCTCAGAAGCCATGTATTTGGGAAACTGTAGAAGGTGCTCCTGATTGAGAACAGAGCAGAAAAGGCTTAACCAATTACCTGCCTTTTCTGCTCTTTTTTGCCCAGGTCTGATTTATTTGTGATTTTATCCAGTCACATATGTCTTATCTTTTAGACAGTTCATCCTTTGGGACAGAAACTACCATTTCCTTTTTTATACATAAAATAATGCTGGATAATCTGACTGAAGTTTTACACTTGCTATACTGTAACTGCTAAATGAATAACAATTTTGGCCAATTTCTAGTCTCAGCTAGCTCCTTTTGGGCTACTGTAGCCCAAAGCTATAATAAGCAAATAAAGCAATTTAGTCAGGCTTCTATCTGGAAGAAATCCTCATTCCAGAATACAGAGTTTTAAAGCTGACATCTGGAGTGATACAGGTGAGTTTTGTTATTGTCCATATGTGCCTCCTGACACATTTATGTACTTTAGATGTAAATTAAGACTATTATGTTAAAAATGTGCCCCTCCTTTTATGTTTTGTCAGCCTCTACACTATAGAAACTCCTTACAACTCCTCCAGCACAAATCCCAAATATGTGTTCTTTAATGTCCAGGATCAGAACCTGTCCAACACTTCCTCAGAGTAGCAGCCAGCCTCCCTCACCTGAGTGTGGCTTGTGCAGTGCCAGCACTCCCAGCTGCACCCCCGCAGGGCACCAGCTGTTCCCTGAGTGCTAGCCCAGGAGAGCAGACAGACCACAGGTAGGTCTCTCACTGTACTGATCAGTGCAAAAACCCCCCTCTAACCCACAAACAAAAAAAAAATCTAGAAAAAGAGGATTTACAGTGCTTTAATCATAACAGGGATGCCTTGTGGGAAACTCTGCAAGATAAAACCGAGCAATATTGCAATACTCTGGCCCATAAACTAGCCTGTGTCCATGCTGTTGCCTCAGAGATACTATGATGGAAATTTCTCCATGTCTCATTTTCATTTTAACTAACTTATTCTGCCTAGAATTCCTGTGTGTGCTTCCTTTCTAAAACTTGTGTCATCCTATTTCTGTGGTGCAAAAATCATATGTTGTGTTATGATAGCTATTTATTGCTATCTGTACATTTCTTATCTGTACATACCCATATGAATATGTTACCTATACTTTAATAGGATGTGTTTGTAAAATGCCCTGGCATGTGCAACTCTGGTAATGAATCTAAAGATGAACAGATTTAAAACTGTGCCTAAGGCGGTTTGGATTACTGTATTTGCCAATTTGTCTTGTGATGTTTTAATAGCTCCTGCATGGCATATTCTTGCACATTATTCAATAGTCCTTAACTTTTCATTAGGTATACACAGGAAGAACATGGAAACATCCCAGATTTTTATCTCTCTACTGTCCTCCAGTAATCAGCTGCCGTTATTCTGGTTTATGTGGGAGAAATGATCTTAGAATCACTTCATAATACACCATTAATGTATCAGTGAGAGGTTGAGACTGATATCCTGTTAGTGTTAGAAACCACAATTATGTGTAAAATGAAAAATTATGCACAGCAAACTATGCAATGGCTATGCAATGTGACCTGCCAGAGAAGTCCTTCTGCATCAGTTCCTCCAAAGATCTCCTGTGACCTGAGAAGCTGTACTTCCTTCCCTCTTTCTCCTTTCTCTGAGTCAGCCAGCTGTGCCATCAACAAGACACTGAAAAGCAAAAAGACCTGAGCCCTGCAAGAAATAAAAGGGGATTTCTGTCGTTCTCTGGGTTCTGTCTCTGTAGAATTGAAATCCTGCCCTTCAGTCAACATTCACACCAGCTGCCTGGGTAAGCACATGTGATGGGCCACCCTTTCAAGACAATCTAAAAACCATAAGTAAGATTTTTTTCAGTTGAGTTTCTTCAACCTGATATATAGATATATATATATATAGATATATATATATATAGATATATATATAGATATATAGATATAATTGTATACACACATATATATGTTTTTAGCTATGTAGAAACTGCAAACCAGATATTAAAAATTGCAAAATACTTGTTGTACTTTGTTTTGATATTTGCACATTCAGTAGTTCTGTCACGTTAAATAAAGACAAAAATAATTTTATTAATGGTAACAGATATTGTGCTACTAAGTTGCCTAATGAAATGCTTTAGAGTGAAATGCAAAACTCACATGTTCATCCAGAGGATCTAAAAAATGTGATTATACTAACACACAGTCTGTCAGTCCATCTTCCAACCCTGTACCCAACAGAAAAAGTCACAGTGAGCACAGTGAAAGGAACACAGTGAAGCATGGAAAAAAATATGTAAAAGGTCCTTGCTAGTGTTACATTTGTGCATCTGTAGGGACAAGCATGACAATTAGCCAAGAGCCCTGAACACTCAATTTCTCCTTTGAGAGAAACTGCATTCACGGTTTTTTCTCTACAAAGACGCCTCTGAACTTGGATGCTTTCCTACAACACTGAATGCCAGCTTGTTCCTTGAAAAGGAGGGGATTTAAAAGGCCATAAAACTAGAAGGACTTCTTCTGGATAGACAGGCAATTAGAACAAAAGGAAGCTTGCATCATATATAGAGGCAGAACTTCCTACTCTGTTTCAGCATGTGGACAAGATAATTTTATTTCTGTTAAATAATTTCATTTGTTTCTAATGCCTTTCTTGTGTCCTAAAGACTCCTCTCCATGTAAAACTAAATAACTATTAGAATGGCAGAGAAGGGTGTCATCAAAATTGTATGACTCATCTTTTTTTTTTTTCGTCTGCACCAAGATATGACCCAGAGAAACTGGCTGAAAGTGTAAAAGCCTTCTCTGCCATTCTTGATATTTGTGAAGTGTTTTCAAACTTGTTTGTAAGTTTTTTGGCTTTTCTGTCTGTATTGGACCCCTCAGTTCTCTGTCCCTTTTTTCTTTCCTGCTTATCCCTGGCAGAGGAGCAGCCTGAGGCAGAGCTGGGTCCAGCAGCTCAGGATGAGTGTAAGGCTCCTTCCTGCTCATCAGTGAAAGGGATGGATGGGCTCATTGGTTCAGCTCATTCACCAAACCTCCTGCTCGGAGCAGCCTGTCATGCTCCAGGAGCTGCAGCTCTGCACTCAGGCCAGGAGAAGCTGCACCTTTTTCTGCGTCCATCTAAATGCATCACGTGGTGAGCCCAAGTCATTTTCCTCCAACCCTATCACAAGACAAGTGAAAACCAGGCTTGCTGTATGTTTGCTTACCATACCACTCTCCAAGGAATAAGTTGCTGCCTGACTTTTTGTGGGCAGAGGGAGTCAGCTGGGGCACCCCAGAGAGAGAGACAAGCCTGGGTGAGCCATACTGGGGCAGGAGCCAAGGGACCAGCAGCAGCAGGACGCTGGAAGAAAAGACCATTCACAAAAGGAGACTGTGCCTGCCCACGCTGGGTGCAGCTGGGGGCTCCGTAGCCAGAGGCAAGGCCAGACAGAGGTGACTCACTGAGGTGACTCAGAGGTGACAGAGTTTGTCTCTGACAGTATCTGCCCTTCTGACCAGAGTTATTGTGGATGACCAGCTGAGAGGAACAACTGCTGTGGAGAATTCCTCGGTACTGATGGGAGCTGTGGCATTGTCTTTGGGGACAGGGAGACTTCCCCTCCTTTGCCCTTGGCTCACACCACCCTGCTGTCTGCTACAGAGCAGCACTGGCACAGACTCTGCCCGGTTCAGCAGTCTGTGTGGTCTGAGCATGCAGGTTTTGTGTGGGCAGAGCACTCAGTGATCGCTGCTGGCAGGCACAGAGAGGTGTGAGAGCTCACACCAGCCTGAAAGAAGGCAAGCAGACATGTGGGAAGCAGTCACATCTCTGGCCATCTGAGGATGGCCTCATCCCTCCCAGCCTGGCAGTCACACAGCCAGAGACTGACTGTGGATGTACCACAGCCACGTCAGCTACCACTGCAGGTCCCACCTCTCACTCCGCTCTGCTGCCTGAGTCACCTCAATGTGCTCCATAAAGGAGAATGAGGTGAACTCTTATGATGAGCTGGATGAAAGGATTATCATCCCAGCTGTTTGCTGCTGCCTCACCACCCAGCGCTTTTCCTGCCCAGCTCTCCTGTTCCATTACTTTGCACGAACAAGAAAACAAACCAGACAAAAAAGGCAGAATGGAGGGATGGGTCAATTGTGTGAATGATCTGAGGTGTTATCTATTCCCAGGGACAGCTGAAACATTTTATCTGGCTACGATCCAAATGGGGTTTTATTCAGAAGCAGCTGTACTGGCTTGAGAAATGACTATTTCCTGGCTGTCCCTTGCACTGCAGTGACTGCTGCAGGTGACTGCTGCCAGTCCCCCCAAGCCTCACTCCTCTCTCACTTGCCTGGGTGCAGGGCAGGCAGCTTGGGCTGAGCCCCAGCACACGGGGGCTTTCAAATCAGCCAAGAAACTTTGCCCAGAGGCTGGCACACGGGGCTCAGATGATGTGCTCTTTTAGGAGGGTGTCCCCTCAGAATAGACAGCTGAAAGCAAATGGTCCAATGCTGGCAATAGTATCTTAAAGCACCAAAGTTTTTTGTATTGTGAAGGTTAAGCCATCCTGTTTGGCAATTAAAATCCCAATTATCTGAATTTTCCATGTACTTGGAAAAGGAATATTTTACTAATTTTACTAATTAATCAAAGTAGATTTAAAAATTAAAAATATTTTTATTATTTTGGATATATAGAATGGGGTTTTTATGTTTACCCTCATATGTCCCTGAAAATTTTGAATTTGCATGCATTGGATATATAAGAAAAGCTGCAGCAGACCATCATCTTGGTTTTATTTGCCAGCACAATCCTCTCTAAATACAGAAATTATTTAAGCTTTTACTACACTGAGATAAGCCTGATGTAAGTAGCTGTAATATTGTACAGTAATAATAGGCAGGCACCTCAGTCAATTTTTCTCAAATCCAGATGACATTGATATCTTCAAATAACCCAGTCTAAATGCTTATTCTCATCCACAGGATAACAAATACACATCCCAAACACCAGGGAAAGAAAAAAATAAGAGAGAAACAAAATTATTTTTTTACTTCCCCTAAGATAAAACTCCCAGCCTAGCCTAAAACACCTCTGATAATATGCTAGACCTTTGGGCTTCACAGATCAGGAAAGCATGAACAAAATAAAGTTTTATGACCAGAAAAGGAGAACTCACTTTCTACTGAAAACACAGAGGTTCTGTTATTTTTAAGTTGAACTCAGTTCTACAGTGATCTGGACACAATCACAGAGGCTAGATACTTAAAATACCAGCTGCTCCACATATTCAGTAGGAGCATGCCTTGAGGCTGACCAGTAACTCATGTAACCAGAACTCTCAGCAGACAGACAATACTTTTCATTTCTAAAGCTGTGAACAAGCAAAACCTCACTAATCACAAATCAAGGAGGCAGATAAGCACGTGTTGACACCCTTGTTTTACTCTCAGGGAGTGCAATGAGCACTGCTTCGTGCAAAGTGGGTCATCTGGTGCTGGGGTTCAGCGTGCAGGACGGGGGGTGCCATCCCACAGGGCTGTCTGGCCCAGGGCACCTGCAGAATATAGCAGACCCCCTGCTCTTCTGCAGGCTTCCAGCAGAGATGGAAAGAGGTGCTGTGGCATTGTGACAGGTGCTGTGTGTAAGGAAGATGCACAGAGCTCTGCAAAGGGTGTACGTGACCAAGGCTTTCAGCCTTGCCACTCTCTTGTTCCCTAAACTTGATCAAGATTTTTTTTATCCTTTCTAATCCATTTTACCTCCAAGGCCCTTTCTCCTGCCATGCTGAGCTGTATGGCACCAAGCCCTGGGTCCCAAGCACTGCCAGGAGAACTCATAACAATACTGATCAGGATGACAGTCACAATTCATAGTAAGCAGTTCTTTCAGATCTTGTACAACTAAAGAAAAAAAGATCCACCAAAGCAATCAAAAACTCCAAGCAAGACTGCAACCTAAAGAAAGAAAACCACAAAAGTTTAAAAAAACTTTTCTACTTACTGCATATATAATGGCCTGTTCCAGAATTGTGATGTGTCGAACATATAACAGGGTCCAGTGGCTTGGGTGGAGTGACAGCGGGTAAAAAACAAACTGCAGAAGCAGCAGAAACAGATTTAAAGGTCACCAGGCTCATTCACTTTGGAAAACAAGTGAACACTGCGACACTGTGAACAACACTGTGCCTACTGTCTGTAACACCACTCCCCATGACTGCTATCCTACTCCTTTTTCACTGTCATTGCAATATATTTATCAGTGGAGAGCTGAGAAACATCAGATATCAGAGGGAAAAAATGCAGAGTGGTGAAGGAAATAGCTTTGCCTGCGTGTGCATGCTGGAAGGAAGCTGTGCAGGCACTTGCACTTCATGGAGACCATGACTTGCTGCTGGCTCCATATAACATCAGCCTGAGAATGTATGAAGAGCTGGGTACTGAAATGGTTTTTCCTACCCTAATAAAATACATTTAAAATGGAAGCTGTCTGTCTAATTTTCCATTTACTTGCCTAATAAAAACTATTGTTTCCTTTCATGTTCTCTACACTTGCTTTCTTCCAGAGCTGGTTTTGACTGGGATAGAGTTGATTTTCTTCACAGTAGCTGGTAAAGGGCTGTGGTTTGGATTTGTGCTGGAAACAGTGCTGATAACACAGGGATGTTTTGGTTATTGCTGAGCACAGCTTACACAGAGCTGAGGATGTTTCTGCCCCTCATGCCACCCCAGCAGTGAGTGGGCTGGGTGTGCACAAGGAGTTGGGGAGAAGCACTGTCAGGAGACCTGACCCCAGCTGACCACAGGGATATCCTGGGGATATCCAAAGGGGATATCCAAAAGGGAGTC